ACTACATATATTACTTTCTATCGACCCATAACATTTTGAAATCTTCATCTCTCTGACGTTTTAGTAGTTTCCTTGTTATTACACTAGAATGCTGTTTGTTAACGTTTATTTACACATCTGGTGTTGATCGGTTTTCAATCAATTTCCGGATAGTTGTGCAACTAATACAAAGGTCACATTAATGGATTCATGTTACACCGAGAATAGCTTTGACATCTTTAACTTACGAAGCCTTATATCTAAAAAATTTCTTATTCTTAGATATGTAGTGGCATTGGACCGTAACCAAACAATCCTCAAAGCTGAACACGAGACTACTCAGAAAATAGATATTCAATATTTAACGCGAAGAAATACCTAACGATAGAAAAGGCGGGAACAGGAATTGAATGAATTGGAGTTAATCGGATGGCATGACTCAGCCATGCAGGCGTGGTCCCTCTGAATGTTACCTTATATCTTCTATTCATATTAAATATATTGTTCCTTCTCCAGCCTAACCTTGTTCTACATCATGTATTGGTAATTGATACGATACAGTGAGCTGGTTTAGTCGATGGCGTGACTTCAACGTAAGATCTTATGGATTAGGCAGTTATATCATGACAAAGCCACAACTTTAGGATTAGGTCTATTATTAGAGCAGTACTAATATCATAGTAGACCATAATTCTACAGTTATGCTCTACCAAGAACGATTTGATCGCAGTCACAAAATCTTGGTTGACGCAGTCTGTAAACAGTACGGAACTTGACTTTGAAGGTTTCACGTTAGTAAGAGGAGAAAAATGTGAGAGACATTTGGGTCACTAGATACTGAAAACACGAAATTTCGACATCGAGAAGCTCGAAATATTTGTGTTTCAACCCTCCGAATGTCTAGAAGATTGTACGAAGAAAGATTGATGGGGAATCTTTAGAATACCCTAGACGCTTATACTCGTACACAAGCCAAATAACTAAGAGATGAAATATCCCGACATTATGAAGTGACAGTAATGCTTCATCGTTAGTGCAGGACGACTCTGGTAAACCTAAGATATTCACAAAATACTTTAGCAATGCATATACGGCAGAGACATCATTCCTTTCAGTACATACAAACCCCATCACACACACTGGACAGCGTGACCAATAAAGAACTCGATGTCTTTGGTCTGCTGAACAAGCTTGATATTAGCAAGTCCATGGGACCGGATGAAATGCATCCTAGGTTGCCAAATGACTGATCACATTTCGTCGCGAATCCCTAAAGCACATGTTATAATTTATCTGCAACCCAAGGTCGACTACCAAAACACTCGAAGAACGCCATGGCAAGTCCTGTCTTCGAAACTGGTACGAAACATAAGCCTGAGAACTATCGACCCGATAGTTAAATTGGAATTGGATTGCAAATAAGAGACGATTTCAGGCACTACAATTCCACAGCGTGTCAAGATGGACATCGCTGAGAGGTCGGTCATTTTTCATAACCTAAGAGAATCTTCCGGAAAGGAATCAAAGGCTAGACTTGAGAACGGCCTCAGTCACATTAAGCCCTTGATAAGCAAGCTACATCCAGAAACAGTTTCAGGAGTCAGTATCTGTAAGCTTTATAGAATAGGACAAAAAATGTATTATGAAAGTACTCAGAAAGGCTGCCTTTTGAATGTCACCTTTGCTATATTTGAAGAAAGAAGCCTGATACTGGGAAGCTCACGCAAACTTATGGGATCCGGAATATACGTCCGTGAAGATCTCAGCCTGGTCGACCGTATTAAGAGACAATAGGCAGAAGTAGAAATAAATGAACGCCGCCGAAACCTTGAAAAAGCACTCGTACTTAAAGGTTTTCAAATTGTAAAAGTTAGGAGCAAAACGAGCTCGAAACCACTCCCGGTGGTAAGGGAAAGTTCTCCACAGAATTAAAGGCATGCCAAGCAAATGCTCACAGCCTAAAAATAAAATGGAGGAGCTCAAGAAAATGGTGGATAAAGAAAAACCGCATGTTATTGCTGTCTCAGAAACATGTTTAACGCCAGAAGTATTGAATAATAAAATTCGGCTGACTGGGAGGCTGATATATTAAAGCGTAGGGGGGGGGCGGTGTTATATTGCACACGCATATTACCCTAACCTTACGAGCAGTTGAAACAGTGGCACACGATTCAGGGACATGTGAACTGGTGCGATGCAAGCTTAAATGTAGACGGCAAGATATTGAATTAGTTGCAGTAGATAATTTCCTCTTAAGCAAACTTAGGTCCTAGTGTAATAGGGGGAAAAGCCTCATGGTAGGTGACTTTAATGCACAGTAAATAAAGTAAGTTAATTTTGAAGTAAGGTCATCGATAATATCATTCAATTGCAAACTGTTATAAACCTCAACTGCACTAGCTTTATTCCAACACATTAGAGATCCCACCGGATATGATTTTCGAAGCTTCTTTTCCCTCTTGGATTTAGTCTTCACACATGGTGATGACATCGGTCAAATGACTTTCCTCCTACCTCTAGGGAGAAGCGATCATGTGGTCATCTTATCCAAATTCATGGCTGAGATTGCCTGTCAAACAGTTGCGCCAGCTCGTCCTAACATATGGAAGGAAGACATGAAGGCAATCAACTCCTCAGCATCAGCTGAAAACTGGGAATTTGACTCAAGGTCTTCAGGACAGGAGGTATGTAATTATTTCAGGTAGTTGTCCAATCGGGCCATACAATCAACCATACATGCTCTTGTCAGTCCCAAAGAAGAAGAACGGCCATCCCAGGATAGGCCGGGATATTCGACGTTTAATAAGACAAAAGAGGAAATGTTGGAATGTCGCCATTAGCCTCAGCACAGCAAGTACAATGGAACGCTACAGGTTGGTAAGAAACACATGTATAGTTAAAATCCGTGAAGCTCAGAGAAAATATGAAATGCAGTTGGACCAATGTTCACCCAAGCAGCCTAAAACAATATTCTCGTACATTATTTAAAGAACAAGGATGCATCATTGGATTCCAAACATAATTAAATAAGGGAATGGATCTGAAATGATAGAGGAAGATAAGGAAAGAGCTGAAGCTATGGCTATTTAAGGGTAGTTTTCACTCGAGAACCTCCCTCAGACAAAGAGCTAGACTCAAATACAAAGTAAGTAGACCGCCTGCTCACCGTAAACTTTGATCGAGACGATGTACATAAGGCTTTTAGCACCTTAGACATGGAAAAGTCAACAGGACCGGATGAACTACACCCGAAATCCTGAGACATATTGCATAATATATCGCAGCCCCACTGGCTGTGATATTCAATATGTCACTTGACCAAGGTGTGTTACATATGGACTGGAAGGACGCAGTCGTCACTCCTATACATAAAGCAGAACCAGGACAACTTCCATCGAACTACAGACCTGTCAGCCTCACCAGTTCTGTAGCTAAAATACTGGAAAGAATAGTCAAAAGATCATAACAACATTTAAGGAAACCAACAACCTGTTAAACAGCAAACAATATGGTTTCAGAAAAGGTTCATCTTGCACATCAAACCTGCTTATAGCAAGGGAGCATTAGATAAAGGTGCTAGGAAACGGGAACTCAGTGTATAACGTCCACATAGACTTAAGTAAAGCATTTGACAAGTGCCGAGAAATAGACTGTCATTGAAGTTAGAAAATCTTGGTGTTGCCGGACCCCTCTTAAAATGGCTTAACAATTTCCTAGTAGGTCGTTGGCAGAAAGTAAGAACAAGTTCAAAGTGCTCCACCTGGATACCAGAAGTTAGTGGAGTACCTCAAGTTTCTGTCCCAAGTCCTTTACATTTTATACTTTATGTAAATGATCTCCTAAGTATAGCAGTCCCCAATATTATTATAAACTCACGATATAAAAATAATAATAATGAGAAACTCAGATGCATGCACACTTCAGGCAGACTTAAATAATGTGAATAACTGGTCTAAAGAGTAGCTGACGCCTATCAACGTGGCAAAACGTGTCTATATGTACTTTGAGGATACAAAGGTTAATAGGTACAGAATGGGAGAAGTGCCTGTACCCATGGTCCGGCCTCATAAAGATCATGGGGTGACAGCGAACCATAATTTTAAGTCTACAGCCCATTGCCGGGAGGTTGCAGCTAGGGGGTTCAGAATCCTTTGGGCTTTATGGTGGACATTCACTAATTTAGATGCTACCATGTTCACTGCAGTATGCACAACCCTAGTGAAAACTAAGCTTGAAAACTACGTTCAAACTGAAAACTCCTGTTTAAAAGGTGACTCGGTTATCCTGGAAAAAGTAAAGAGGGAAGGTACCCGTGCAATTCCAGAACTCTGTGGTTTACCATACAAATAGAGGCATGAACAGCGAGACCTCTTTACTCTGTCCTGTCGCAGACCAAGAGGTGATCTAATTTTGATTTACAGGATACTAAGAAATGATTTTTGACCTAATATGTTCTCTCTTTTTTTCCCCATTAGATTGGGACATCTCGGAGGATATAGCAGGCTAGTAGAAAAGCCAAGAACGAAAAAAAATACCCGTGTCATACAGGTTTTCACACCGATCCATCAATTTCTGAAACCTATTATACGAGGCAGTGGTGTCCGCACATTCAATTGACTCATTCAAGAGAAGACTGGACACCCATAAAAGCATACTAGAAAAGGAGTTACATAGGCTGTAGGCCTGAATCTGAAATCAAATTACTTGTCAACTGACTATTGACTTTCCCATCGAATAATCAACGAATGGAATTCATTAACTCATCAAGTAACTGGAGCTCTATCTGTCGACATTTAAAAAAAAAGTCGGATCAACTGGGAGACAACCACTGCCATGAATAACATAGATCAACTAGCCCCCGTCCTTTCTAAACTGAGACTGATGTGAACTTGGATCCTGATAAACCTAAATTTGAGTTTCAGCTAATTGAAGTCAGTTTACGATCGATTGTACTTGCAAATGTACATAAAATTAAGAATATTTGAATAGCACCAACTGAAATGTAGAAGTATTGTTTTTTCGAGATACTTTGTCGGTTGTACATCAAGTCCGCAATTCAAATTTGCTTTCCGTGTGGTCTTTGTTATCTCGTATTTGCATACAAGTGTTAACTGGCTTAGAATTGCAAGTTCACCAAGTTTTTGCTGCATAGTATTCTTTTTGAATATTTGTAACTAGCTTTTATATGATTTGCACTTTTCACTGTTTCTGGGCTTGGCGGAACGTATAGCTCTAGTCTCCCGATCTAGGGGAAAGTTTTGTCAGTTCTGGAAAAATATTGAGGGAGCCTCGATAGAGATTTTTTAGACTCTATGAAAATCCCAAAATCTCCTTTGGTTTTGAGGTTCTCCAAATTTGATGTCATTTTGGAAAAATCCCCAAAATGCTTAGTGAGATTTAGGGTTTTCCTCAATATTTCTCCAGACTTATGGGAACGTACGAGTTTTCTAATAACTTTGGTAAAAAATCGGAAATTCCTCGAAACTATCCAAAACCTGAAGATCGGAGCTACTGATTCTTGATGATCAGTTTCCACACTAAGTTAGTAAACAGCAAACTTCTATTTTGTGGTATTCTGGCTGATTTGCCGTAAGTTTATTCGGTTCCTGATAGTATAAAGTATTGTTCTCGTGATTTTAAGGTTCCAGTCTAGTTAGGCTCTGTATATGGAGATCGTCAGACGCCTTCCGGTTTTGCTCTTTTATGCCCATGACTAATCTTTAGAGTTCAAACATATCACCTTGTGTTTCAAACAATCAAGAAATATCCTGGTTTCTGTTCACGCCCTAAAAAACAAAACTTGTTTTGCCTCCCATATATATTCATATATATGTTTACAAATTCAATCAGGACTTAATTTACACATCATATTCGTATGTACTTCTGCCAATTATTAGATCGGGATTTATTAGGAACATCGTATCCCCGATCTCATTATACGCCACACTCTTTCAAGTGCATTTCACCCTGGCAGTAAGACTGCTTACATATTAAATGATTTATTAGAAAATACCGCGAAAGTTTGATTTTTGTCGCAATAGGTCCTTCCATGTTCACTTTGAATTGTACAACTTCATTTTGTCTTGTCGTTACTGAATGGGGTAATGGTGAGAATGCTGAAAATAACTTGACTAACAGAACATTCAGCACATTGCAGCTTGATTCGTTGTAGGGTCACTGAGGCTTACTTTTCGTACAGTACGGGTTAGAACTTTAAAAAGTTATAAAGTGTCAGCTAATTCTAAGGAGTATTTATGTATGTGTAAATCATGCACATGATTTCATTCTTCAGTAATAAGGATTTTATTTATTATTTGAACATATTGGTCCAAAGAGGCATCGAATACATATGCGCAACACAAGTCACTTGATTTGTGCATGGGCTGTGATACTGCCTGGGCGCCTAGACCGAAGATGGGAGTCTTCTTTCGGGGGGACACTCCACCACTTATCGACTTAAAATACGCAGATATAGTCCTGTTTGGTGAAGATGCTGGTAAAATGAAGTCTTTTGGTAGTACTGAGCAACAATGCCAGAATGTTTAAGATGCGCTTCTACCCCTCTAAATGCTAGTTGTTGCTTCAGGACTGGTCTGCGTCGACACCTGAACTAAGGATAGGGAGTGAAGTAGTCGAGCGCGTTGGCAACTTCACTTATATTGGAAGTCTGATCAGCCCTAATGGGCTGGTGTCTGACGAAATCTCAGCACGAATTCGAAAAGCTTGTTTGACTTTCGTCAACTCACGTCACCTATAGCGAAGGCGAGATATCTGTCTATCAATAAAAGGACGAGTATACTGCGCGGTAGTTTGTTCCGTTCTACTTTACCGCTGCGAAACATAGCCATTAAGAGTAGAAGATACTCGTAAATTACAAGTATCTGACCACAGATGCCTTATAAATATTGCTGGCGTCTGCTGGGATCACCGGGTAAGTAATAGTGAGGTTAGACGCAGGGTATTAGGGAATGACGGTAAATCAGTTGATGACGTTGTGAATTTTCATCGACTGAGATAGTTGGGCCACGTGTTACGTATGTCTGAACACCGATTACCACGACGTGCAATGCTAACCGGTGTTGGGGATGGTTGAAAGAAAGTTAGGGGCGGCCGAAACAAAAAGTGGCATCAGTCCTTAACTTCTGGTCTGAGCCATGTTGGTAGATGCAGACTACTTGGTTGGGGTCCGCGTGACTATCATAACCAATGGTTAAGAGACTCTTGGAGACATGGCTCAGAATCGATCACAACGGCGTCGGTGTATGCACTCCCTGTCTTCCCTTAAACTAAGAGATTAAAATCGCCTCATATCTTTCTTTCTGTACTATGTCCTTATATACAATCTTTCTTTTATATATTACCACCACTAAATTAACTACTTCTATGAATCCGGTGTTCATCTTGTGCTGAAGAGGTATGGCAACTTGAACCGTTGTAAATATGTGCCTGGTCCTACGTCGCAGCTGACTGACCACACCCTGAGCCTTTGACCTAAAGTTCTGATCCACAAGGCAATCAAGCAACGTAAGGAGATGCAGTCCCATGGTAGCCGATAACCAACAATTGGTTTATACGTCATTTTTCCTTCAGGATCCTGGAGTCCATATGCACCATCGGTTTAGAATCAAGGTTTCCCAACTCCCCTAGGTGAATCCTCTGTGTCGACCAACCCCGTTAAAGCACCGGACCCTCGCTTTTCGTCCTCTCAATTCCGTAAACAACACCCCTGCCACGAGAAAGCAGTGAGTAGGACTTCCCTGACAGTAGTTGTATGCACGTGGCGATGTGAGAGTATTTTGTGAGGGAGAGCTGACTCTCTCCACCCTCGGCCGTACCAGAGCATTTAGGGGCAATAAGGATAGGTCTATCGACCTATATTAATCCTTACAGTTTGTAGCAATCCCATTTTGAATATATCAAGAGGTGTTGATATTACATGTTCCCGTTGAAAATTCCAGTAATTCACTACTCGATACGAGAAACGAAACTCCAGACGTCGACGATTTGATCTCAGTTTTTGAAATTTTTTCGATTGTCTTCGCAAATGACCAGTCCTAAACGGAAGGGAAAGATAAGAAATATTAATACCAAGGTCATTGTTCAGTATACGATAAGCCACTCAGTATTCTACGGTAAGATGACTGAAATAAGTTGAGGTGTGTCAGTCTGTCAGACCTTAAATGACATAACTCAAAATCGTTTGCAATGACGCAGGTGCATCCATTCTTTGTGTTCTCCCAAATTCTAATCTTCTGAATTCTTTGTCTCCTTTTTTTCTCTTTCCAAATATTTTCACTGAATTATGCTCTTTGAATAACATCTTCAAACCCTAATCTTTCCGATTACTTTTTATACTTTTACTACCTCTATCACTATGGTATTTGAATCGACAATTGTATCTGTGTGGTAATGTGGTTTGGAAACTCGAACTGATTTACGTACGTACGAGGTTCTACGTTTTACTGACTGACTGAGTCTATCTTCATAAGATAGGCCAGAGAGGCCTTTTACCATTTTATTCCCTCATCCTTGGACTCGTTTCAGCATATCAGCCTCATACTTGAAACAAGGACTCGCTACTTAAACTCCATACTAATCCCATACCAATGAGTTGAGATCATCCTGTAATACTATTCTACTACTATAAGTATGATAGGCCTTTACGAAAACCATGTTCTCTGAATAGAAGATTATGTCCTTCCATATAATCTATAACAGCTTTAATTTTGACAGCTGCACTGGTTAGACTAACTGGTCGGTAGTTACTAAGTCCCTATTCCTCGCCTTATACACCGGATTAATTATTGCGTCCTTCCAGTATCGTGGCAGTCTGGACTGCCACAGACCTATCAAACAGTATGGCTATAGGTCCAGCTATTACATCAGATAAAGCTTTCATAATCCTAGGACGAATATCGTCAGGATCACCGGACTTGTAAGGCTTGAAATGCTGAAGTAATCTTAGGACATACACTTCTCAATAACCATAGGATCCATCAACAAGCCGCCACAATCACAATTAATCGTTGGTTGTTCCTCATTGCTGATAGAACACACTACTGAAATGTTCCAATAACGCTTCAGCTTTGTCGGCATCATCTCTTACCAATATTAATGGATTTTCTTGTACTTAAAATGATGGAATTCCACCACTTCCCTGAGTTCGCCTTTTTATGTACGAGAATAACCGTTTCCGACTATTTTTATAATCCCTAACCAATTTTTTTATACGACTGTCTAGTCTTATTTACGCTTTACAAGCATTCCTAGTCTTACAATAACTGGATCTGTAGTGTTCTAAGCCAACAGAGATGAACATGTTCCAGTGCTTTTTCCTACATCCAAGAGGTTTCTTGACTTGTTTAGTTATCCATGGTGGACAGTTCTTCGGTCTGCGTGGCACCAAGTATAAACGAGAACGTAACTGAACTAAACTTGCCTTTAAATATAGGCCATGCTTCTTCAACTGATGAGCTGGCATCTATTGACCAATCTGTCTTAACAGCTCACTCCTGAATGACTGATAAGTTAACTCTCCATATATTTGTGCGAGGCTTAACCTGATTGTGTATCATGTCACTAGCTCTAAACATGAATGACAAAACAGCGTGATCGCTATTTGCTAACGGTGGAAGGATATTTGGGTTGGCAATATCCTCAGTATATCCTCAGTCGCATGAGTGATCACCAAGTATAGCAAAGAAGAACCATGGTTTCACCAAAACGTGTGGGTTTGGACACACTGTACTAATACATGCTCCATTACCGTTATCAGGAACTTGCTAACAAAGAAGTTTATATATCCTACCGTGGCCATCTCAGTCTAACTAATATCAGGTGCATTTAAGTCTCATAATATCAAGCATCTGTTATTTGCACTTCATAGTTGAATGTACTCTGAAATAAAGCCATCAGCCAAGCAGATTGAGCTGCGATGGATGACGCCGAGTATAAATGTACAACATCCGGTGGTCAGCTCACAGTTAATGACGTCACAAGTTCTACTATCATGGGATTAGCAAGCAAAAGATCGGATGTTTTTATTATTGGCTATGTATCAAAGGACGCCACCTCCTTTCCTACATCTATGTCTATCAATTCTTAGGTAGTGGTATCCGGATAAG